CCTTCCCCCCCCCCCCCTTTCAGTTTTAATTGCTGGCTGAGTCATGTGAGCAGCATGAAACCACGCAGCCACCTGCCCCCAGGGCCGCGGCCCCAGCGCCGGCCGGGCAGGATGGACGGACGGACAGGGGGGAGGATGGACGGACAGGCGGACGGCTGCCCCCCGCCCGGGGCTCGCTGTCCCTGTGCCACACACATCTCTGGGGGGGGGATCCCCGGGCAGGGGGCTGCTGGCAGCTTTGGGACAGTTCCCGGCGCGATTCCCCAGCTCGCTGCACCGCCCGTGTCGCAACTCCCCGGCTTCCTCGGGCCTGCCTGCAATTACCCCGCCATTTACTGCATTGCCCCATCATTGAGAGGAAAATCAAAAAGCCACGGCTCCCAAAAAAAAAGCCCGGCTTGTTTTTCCTGCGAGCTAATGGCAGCCCGCGTGCTGGGCGCCGTCTGGGCTTGCCCATAAAGCGCAGGGAGCGGGACGGGGCCGGACGCTGGCGCGCGAGCCCCTGCGCAGGGGTTACCGAGTTGCTTTCGTTTTGCCTTTTTTCTTTTTTTTTTTTTTGTTCTCTCTAACCGTTGCACTTTGAAACCCCGTATCTCGGGCGAGCTCTGCTCAGCAGCAGATAAGGGCTGAGGTTTTCGGCCCCCACGTGCCACCAGCGCGTTTGAGCCGTCCCAATTTGGAACATCTTCAGAAACCTCCCGCCCCCCCAAAAGTACCAGCACCTCACCGCAAGCCGAGCCTCCCCCCCCCCACCCCCTCCCCGGGTCTTTTTAAAGCTTCTTTCAAACAGGAACAGAGCCGCGGGAGCTCAAGCACCCGGCTGCAAGGCGAGGGAGCGCGTGGCGGCGGCACCGAGCCCCGCGGCACCGGGCGCCCGCCGATGGCCCCACTGCGGAGCCAGGCGAGCAGCGGGCAGCTCGGTGACACCACGAGGGGCACAACCCGCTCCTCATCCTCGGCACCAGCCTCTCCCCCAGCCCAGGCCACCAGACCCAACACAGGCACACGAGCACCCCAAGGAGAGGGGCACCCCCGAGGTGACGGGGTGCACGGCCCCAGCTGGCTGCTGAATCAGCCCCGCGCTCCCCGCCCACGGGATTAGGGAGGGCGAGGAGCCGGGCAGCAGCACAGCAGCAGCAGCAGCAGCAGCAGCAGCTGGCTTTCACATTCAGCACAGGAAACTCCAAAAGGGGCAGGGACAGGAAACTCCGATGCCGTGGGCTGCGAGCGCGCCCCGGGTTGAGGCTCCTGGTATTAGTGGGGCACGCACTCATCTCGCCATCCGAAACAGAAAGGTCAGGGGAGGGATTACCCGCGGGGCACGGTGCTGCCCGGCAGGGCCCTTCCTCCCGCAGTGTGCCGGGGCTCAGCTCCGTGCCCGATGTGTGGGGGTTTTTCCCCCGTGCAGCCCCGCGCCGGGCCGGCGTTACGCAGCACTTTGCTGCGGCAGCGCCCGAGTTTTGGCAGGCGTCGAGCCTCTCGCGCTCAGCACCACCACGGGCAGCACCCGCAGCGTCACCCGGGCATGGGGACAGCCCCTGGGGGGCCGGGCAGGGGCTCACCCATCCCTGCTGCCTCCGTTTGGCTCGAACCCCCCGGCTCGAGGCGGGGAGCACAGACACGCCGGCATCGCCACCAGCCCCAGGGTCCTGGCGTGCCTCTGGGGGCGAGATGAAAGGGACGGCGGCCGTCACAAACCTCTTCCTTCCCCAGAGACGGACCGTGGCGGGGGCTCAGCCCCGCCGCAGGCTTTTCTAGGAAGGAAGAGGGAGGGAGGAGAAATAACGAGCGAGCGCCACGTCCCGCGCGCGGGGCTGGGAAGGGACGCACATGGTGGGGGGGGGCAGCTCCGTGCTTTCCTTGGGGCTGGGTGAAGGGCCCAGAAAACTCACAAAGCCCATGCACGGGGAAGCCCAAAGGACTGAGGACGCCTGGCCCTGGCTGAGCCCTGCTCCAAGCACCAGGTCTCGGTGTCCCTGTCCTGCAAAGGGGATTTCCCTCCTGCAGGAACAGACGCAGCTCAGTGCAGCCCGGCACAAACACAGCAGGACACGAGGACTGCAGCGCTACCCCAGCACGGGGGTGTGGAGGCTGAGCCCCCCTCGTAGCCCCCCCATTGATGCCCCTTTTTGCCCCCGCTGCGGACCCTGCGTGCCCTTTGGCAGCCCCCCCTGCCCCGCCGCGCCGGGGGCTCCTTTGTTCTGCTGCCAGCGCCCGGGTCAGCGGCGAGCTGACCTCTGCCTGCGCAGTGGCCGTCCCCGGGGACGGGGAGGTGCCACACAACAGCTTCCCAGCCCTGCGCCTCCGCTTCTCCCCTTTACACCACATTCCCTCCTCCGGGGCCTCCTGCAGCTTCCACACCGACCAACCACAGCACCCATTTGCAGGAATCTGCCCCAAAGTGGGCAATAAAGAACTGCCACGGTGGCAGAGCCTCCCGGGCAGTGCAGGGACCGGTGCCACGTCCGAGCAGAGCTGCCCTGGTGGTGCAGAGCACCACAGCACGCGGCCCCAGTGAAAGCAGCACCGGGGTGCCGAGGGGACCCCCCCTTCCCCTCCTCCAGCCAACGCACGCAGCCCCGCCGCGTTCCTCGCCCTGCGGGGGGCACGGTTCGGCCTCCACGAGCACGAGGCTGCAGGCAAGCTGAGCTCGTCTGCAAGAAGAGAAGAACCCAGAAATAGCACCGTCCTCGAGCCGCGCTTCCCCGCCGCGGCAGGAAGGCCAGCACCACGCTCACAGCCCTGAGCACGGAGCGGAGAAAACGCCCGGGGAAGGAGCAGAGCCCCGGGGACTGCCCTGAGCACCACAGCTCCCCGCGGCCCCCACCCCATTAAACCCTACAGAGCTGCAGCGTGGCAGCCCCCACCAGCACTGAGAGGTTCCCTGAAGCACCCTGGGGCTGGGTTAGAGCCCGACAGTGGTGTGTCAGGGGGTCTGAGGGGGTGTTGAGGAAGCCCCGGCGCAGCCCCTGCCCCGTGGAGCGCCCCTGCGGCGGCGGCGGCAGCAGCGCGGCGGCGGGCGCATCCTGCCCGCGCTGTGTTTACATTCCTGCTGCTCCTTCCCAGCCCGTCAGCTGGGCTGGAGCGCGTTCAGAGGCACGCGCTGGAGGGCGGCCAGGAGGAGCTCCCGGCCAGGCGCCGCGCGAGCAACCCCTGGCCCCGATCCAGCGGCCGGGATCCAAGCGCCCGCGCGCTGACGCGCCGGGGAAGCCTCTCCCCGAGCGGGCGCTTTGCCTCCTCGCCTCCACCCGCGGAGGCAGAAGGCAGCTTTAACCTCCCCCCCCGGGTGCTTCCACCATCAGTTGTCGCCGTGCCAGGCGCTGGAGCAAGCGGCTTTTTCCCCGGGGTGCCCGGGGCACAGGCAGGGATGCTCGGCCCCTTTCGCCCGCGCGGTGTGGACGGGGCCTGAGCTGCCTGCAGCCACCCAGAGCGGCCACGCTCGCCGGGCTCCGAGCCCCCAATTCCCCCGCGTGGCATCGAGGGCTGGGAGCAGGACGTGGGCACGCAGGGAGCCCGAGCTCCCAGGGAGATCGCAAGGGTCCGGGACACGCTCACACGGTGACAAACAGGAAGATCACAGCTGTGGTATCTAAAAGCCTTTTCGCAGATAAAAAGATTACGTCCCCCACTCTCTAATTACAGGAAGTACAAAAGAGAGAAACCACAAGAAGACGATGCAGCGCCGGGAGGTGAGGATATGTGCGCACTCGAGACAGCACAGGAAAAGTTTGGTGTGTTTCTAAAACCCACACGAACGTTGTTAGAGCTACGGACGAGCCAGCAGAGCCGCCGAGAGCGCCGGGGCTGCCCAGCCACCGAGCCTGGAGGAAGAGCTCAGACGGGGCCGAATCCTGCCCCCAGCACGCTTGTGCCGTGCCCAAAGGTGCCAGGGGGGCTCTGCTGTGCCGGGGGAGCCGGGCACAGGCGCTCGCTCCCTCCTGGCACCGAGGGAGCCCCACGGCTCCCACCCCATTGCGCCCCGTCCACCCGGAGCCACCTCGGGGTGCCCAAGGCCCCGCAGCATCAGGAGGAGCCCAGGGCACGCTCGGGGGGTTCCCCTGCCCCAGCACAGGGCAAAACGCTCGGAAGGCCGGGCCGTATCCTGCCGAGGAGGCCGGGAGTTGTGCAACAAACAGCCTCCAGCCCCGGCGGCCGTTTTCCTCCCCGCAGCGGGGAGGCGGGGGGACAGAAGCTCCCCTCCTGCCCAGGGTGGCTGCGCTCTCCAGCGCTCCCGGTGGCCCCAGCCCAGCCCGGCGGGGCCACGCCACCCGTGCCCAGGCCAGCCCCTGGCAGCCCCCAGCCCTTTCCCTCGCCCTGAGCCGGGGAAGGGGCTGCGGCCACCGCACCCCTCCCAAAACGCCGGCCTCTCCATCTGGGTCCCATCTGCTGCTGTTTGCTCTCGCCCCCTCCCCCAGCCCTAAACTCAGATGTACTTAAACACACACATCAAAGGGCCGGGGCAGCCCCCGGGGAGCCCCGCTTTAAGCACATTTCCTTCTATTAGCCCGGGTACTGCGGCCCCGCAGCCCCAGCCCCGCAGCCCCGGCAGAGCAGGGGGGCAGCGGGGCGCTTCCACTCCTCCACCTCATTTTGGAGGACGGCTCTGCTCCAACTGCACCCACACAGCCTGGACAGGAGCAGGGGGGGACTCACAGGTCCCCACGCTGCGTTTTGGAAGGGGCTGGTGCTGAGCCCGCTGCTCTGTGCCCCTCGCTGGGCTGGGTCCACGGGGCTGCAGCCCCCGGCCCAGCACATCAGAGCCCTGAGAGCACGAAGAAACCCAAGAATCCCTTCGGACCTGCAGCCTTGGGGTGTTTTTTTCCTGCTGTTTTCAGCAAGAATCCTCCCGGGTCCCCACGGTGAGCGCAAGGACTCAATCCCCGGGGGGATCCTGGTGGTTTCTCAGCAGCGCCAGGAGCGAGCTGCGGTGCGAGGCTCCCCCAGACAGCCCGCAGGGCCACGCACGCGGCCACCCGTCCCCGCGTCCCGGCGGCTCCCACCTGCTTGAACTGCTCCTCGTAGGTCCAGTCGCCGTGGTCGGGCGCTGGCTGCGGGAGCTGCGCGTGGCCCTGGGGGCCCAGTCCGGCGGGGAGCCGCTCCTGCCCGCCCGGCGGCCGCTGCGCCTCGCCCCGGCAGTGCTGCGGGGCCGGCGGCTTGCGGAGCAGCAGGGACCCGGGGCCCGTCCGCACCGCCTCCGCCGAGCTCAGCCCCTCCTCGCCCATGTCTTCCTCCTCCTCGTAGTCCTCCTCTTCCTCTTCTTCCTCCTCCTCCTCCTCTTCTTCCTCCTCTTCCTCCTCGCCCAGGTCCTCCTCGAAGTCCTCTTCATCCCATTTGCCCTTCCTGGAGCAGGGGAGAGGTTTGCTCAGTGCGCCCCGGGCCGCCCGCCGAGCCCATTCCCACCTCCCCACAGTGGCGGTTCCCCCAGCGGTGCCAGGAGGCCGCAGGACATTTCCACAAACCTCCCCGTTTCCAGGCCCCTCTCCCTGTCCCCGCTCAGCATCTGGATGAGACCCGGAGCCGCCCAGCCCCGAGCGCCAGCAGCGCCCTGCCTGTCCCCACGGGGTGCTCCCGGTGCCGGGAGGCGCGGGCAGAGCTTAGGCCAGATGGCGCCCGGCCCTGCTGCCTGCCCGGGGAGCGGGGAGGAGGCAGCCCGGCAGCCCTGCATTATTTACACCGGGCCGGGATCCTCTGTCACGGCCCCACGTGGCTCCCCGGGCAGAGATGAAATTTCGCCCCACGCCAGCTCGCTGCGAGGAATCAGTGCGGCGGGGCGGGCAGCTCTGCCCCACCACTGTGCCGCCCTGAGCAGGGAGAGAATGGCCAAATCCAGTGTTTGTCCCCCAAAAGTACCGGCTCACATCCCAGCCAGGGTCGGTGCCCTGGTGCTGCTGCCTGCCCCGCACCCCGACACCCCCCAGCCCCCAGCTTTGGGCTCGCCGCTCTCCAAACCCCGCCGTGGGGCCGTGCCGGCGCACGCAGCCGTACTCACAGATCCTCCTCATCCTCGGAGCCCATCTCCTGCTGGTAGCCGCCGTCCTCCTCTTCCTCCTCCTCCTCCTCGCCGCGCTCCTCCTCCTCGGAGGCCTGGCTCTCCTCCGACAGCCCCGGGCTGGACGAGTGGCTGAGGCCGGCGGCCGCGGCCCGCATGGCGGCCAGGGCGGCCATCTGCGCCCGCTGGATGTGCGCGTTCTCGGGCTCCGCTCCTTCCTCCGAGGGCGCCGGGGCCGAGGTCCGGACCTCGGCCCCGCGCTGGGGTCTGCCCCGGGGCCGGCGGGGGCTGCGCCGGGGCGGGGGGCGGCGTGGAGCGCTGCTGCTGCTGCTGCTGCTGCTCCTGCTGCCGCGCTTCCAGCGCCTGCTGCAGCCGGGCGCGCTGCTGCCGCTGCAGGTTCTCCATCACCGCCTGCAGCTTCATGGCTCTGCCGGCGGGCGGCAGGTCCCCGGCCGGGCGGGGGGCGACGCCCTGGGGGCGCGGGGGGCAGCGCCCGGCAGGGTGCCGCGCTCCAGCGGGGCGGGAGGCCAAGGCGGGGGGCTCGGGGGCGGCAGCCCTGCGAGGGGGCTGCCGGGCCCCCGGGAGGGCGCAGGGGAGCTGGGTGAGGCCGTCGGGACGCAAGGCGCCCGCTGCGGCTGGCTCGGGGCGGGAGGACGCCCCCCCCCCGGGCCCCCCCCGGCTTCGCTTCGTCGCACAGCTCCTGCCGGTGCCGGGGCCGCGGGCTCGGGGCCGCTCGGCCGTTTTTGGGGGCACGGCGCCGAAGTGTCCGCGGGCTCAGCAGGCGGCCACAGCCCGGTGCATGGCTGCGTCCTCGCCGTCCAGGCGCGTGCCGGGGGGCTGCGTGCGGCCGGAGACCCCCCCCTCAGCTGCTCGTCCTAGCGCTGGGACGGCTCCGGGCAGGGACCTGCACGGGGAGGAGGAAGGAGTTAAGGACAGCCCCGGAGCCTCATTAATCTCCGGCTAATGAGATAGGGAGGCCGGGCCCTGCTGCTGCAGGGGGAAGGGGCCTGCCCGCCCCGATAGCCACCGGCCCCCCGGGCGGCTCGGGGCCAGCAGCCGCAGATAACGGGGCCCTGGGGCCGCGGGAGGGGGGCGCACCATGGGCACCCAGCACCGTCCCCGGGGACCCCCCCCTCGGTCTCCCCAGTCCCCCGGGAGTGCAGGTGCCACGTGTGAGGGGCACCCAGGGCCGGCACCGGGACCCTCGCCCCCAGCCCGGGGGGGCTCGATCCCGGGACCCCCGCTGTGCCCCGCCAGGGCCCGGTGCCACGGGGGGGGGATGCGCCCCGGTGAGCCCCGTGGGGGTCCCCGGGGCTGCCCCTCCCGGTGGGGCCGCCCGCAAGGTCACCGGCTCAGCCCTGGCCCCGCCGTTAATCCCGGCCACAAAACCCGGTACCGGCCGGCACAGCGGGAGCCGGGGCTCAGCCCCTGCCCCTGCCCCTGGGCTTTGGGAACGGGACCCCGCCCCCCCCTCCGGTAAGCACCGGGTCGCAGCCGCTTCCCCCCCGCCGCGCTGGCGATCCCCGCCCCGCAGCCCCGCAGCCTGCCCTCGCGGCCCCGCTGTCCCCCCCGGTGGCGGTGGGGGCGGCCCGGGGCCCACCTCCCGCATCCGTGCGGGGCTCCGGGACCCCGCGCCCGGGCACAGCCGGGGCCGCCCCGGTGCCCCCCGGTGCGAGCAGGGCTCTGAGCTCCACCGGGACCCCCAAACCCACGGGGGAGCCCCCGCCGTGCGCCCCCCGCCGGTCCCCGCGTGGGAGGTGGCACCGGGGGGGGGGGCACCGGGGGTCCCCCGAGCCCCTCTGCGGCCCCGCTCCCCGTCGGACCCCACGGGAGGGGCCCGGTGCCGGTGCCGGTCCCAGGGGCGCGGGCACGTGGCGGGGCCGGGAGCTGGGCGCGGCGCTGGGGGCACCGGGACCGGCCCCGGGACGGGCGGAAAACGGCCGCGGCCGCTGCCCGGGCTCGGTGCGCTCCCGGTGCCCTCCCCCCCCCCAACCTCCTCCGCCCCACAGCACCGGGCGGCGGCCGGGAACCCACCGGAGGGGGGGGAATCGGGGGGGGGCACCGGCGGGACCCGAGCGGCCGCCCCGGGAGGGGAAACCCCGGCCCCAGCGAGCGCCGCGCGGCCACCGGGCGGGGGGGAGGGGGCGCGGGGCCGCCGGTAACGGGCGGCGGAGGGGGAAAAGGGGGAAAAAGGGGGGAAAAGGGGGGGGGGAGCCGGGCCCCGGTCACCGCCCGCGGGGCTCCCGGTGCCGCTTACCGGGCGGGTTCCGGGTGGGAGGAGGCCGGGAGCCGCCAACCCGCATCGCAGCCGCGGCCCCCGGGGCTCGGGCAGCGGCGGGGCCGGGGCTGCGCTCGGTGCCCGCACGGCGGCGGCTGCTGGCCCCGCGGGCGGGACGGGGAGGGGGGGGTGGGGGGGCAGTGAGGCCCCGCCCCGCCTCGCCATTGGTCCGCCGCCGCCGCCGCGCCCCCTCGCCGCCCCGCCCCGCATCGCTATTGGTTCGTCGCCGCCGCCTCGCCCCGCCCCGCGTCTGCCATTGGCCGAACGCCGCCGCCGCATGCAAATGAAGCGGCGCCGGGCCGCGGGGCTGGGAGGCAGCGCCCCCTGGCGGCGGGCGGGGCGGGCGGGCGCGGGCCCTTTAAGAGCGGGGCGGGGCCTTAAAGGGGCCGCGGCCCCGGCTGCCGAGGCCCCTCCCCGCGGTTTATTTTTATCGATTTTTAATTTTTTTTTAATTTATTTTTTTTAAGCCCCCCCCCCTCACGCACACCCCGCCGAGCACCCCCCGGGGCTCCGTCGCGCGGTCCCGCCCCCGTGACGCCACTTCCTGCGGGCACGCGGGGTGCCGGTGGCGGTGCCGCGGCCCCTTTAAGGCCGGGCGCGCCATGGTGCTGCTGCCGCGCGGCCCCGCGGGGCCCCTCCCGTGAGTAGGGGGCGGGGGGGGGCCGGGGGGCCCGGTGCCGGGGGGGGTCCCGGTGCCGGTCCCGGCGGGGTCGCGCTCCCTGACTCGGTCCCGGCCCCTGGGGGGGGTCCCGGTGCCTGTACCGGTGGGGGGGGTCCCGGGGGGTCCCTGTCCCGGTACCGGGGCGGGCTCCCGGTGCTGGTCTCGGGGGGGTCGCGCTCCCTGTCTCGGTCCCAGCACCCCCGGGGGGTCCCGGTACCGGTGGGGGGGGGGGGGGGTCCTGGTGCCTGTCCCCGTACCGGTGTCGGGGTCCCGGTGCCCGGGTCCCGGTGCCGGGGGGGTCCCGGTGCCGGCAGCTGCCCGGCTCCCCGCTGCCCGCCCTCCCCGTGCCGTGGGGGGGGGCGGTGGGCACCCGGTGCCTGCCCCCCGCTTCCCGGTCCCCCCCCCCTCCCTTTGGCCAAAACGCACCGGGACCGGGGGGACCCCGGCGAACGGCAGCGGGCGGCGACGCTTCAGCACCGGGCTGAGCGCCCTGAACCCCACGGCACCGGCGGCTGGGCCGGGAGCCCCCCACCGAGCCCCGCGGTGAGCCTCAGCCCGAGAGCGGCCGGGCCGTGACCTTCAGGCACCTCCCGGCCCGGGATCGCCGCCACCTGAAACCCCGACACCACCCCGCGGCCCGGGGGGAGCCCCTCGGGGGGGGCTGGTTCAGAGCAGGAACGCTCCCGGTGCGGGGGGGCCCGGTTTGTGCTGCCGGGAGGCGAGGACGGAGCCGGAGCCTGCGGTGCCTGGGACAGGGCGCGGGGCCCGGCAGTGCCCATGGCCCTGGAACCCTGCGGGATGCTGCCCGGCCCCGCCACCCGCCTGTCCTTGTGCCCCGGGGGCCCCGGGGGTCTCAGAGGTCCTCGGGGGTCTCGGGGCGCTCAGTCCCTTCCATCGCATCCCCCGCAGGAGGATCGAGGACTGCCTGCCCCCGCTGGAGAGCTCCCCCTCCAAGCGCTTCTCCCCGTCCAAGCGCAAGCAGTACTACATCAACAAGGCCGTCCGCAACTCCGACCTCACCCCCAAGGCCAAGGGCCGCAAGAGCCTGCAGCGGCTGGAGAACAGTAAGGGGCTGGGGGCGGTGGGGGGGGGCTGGGGCGGGGAGGGGGCTGGGGCGTGGGGGGGCTGGGCGGTGGGAGGGGCTGGGGCGGTGGGGGGGGCCGGGGGCCGCAGGCTCTGCGGGGACGCCGCTTTTGCCTTCCTGCAGCCCGGTACCTGATGACGCTGCTGGAGCGAGACGAGTGCGGCAGCGAGGAGGCAGAGCTCGCCCACGCCGCCACCCCCAGCATCTTCGCCGAGGCCTGCAACAACGAGACCTACGTGGAGGTAGGAGGCGGCCGGACCGAGCCCCCGAAACTTGGCTCCTGTCCCTGCTGGGTGCTCCGGGTGCTGTGCTGCTCGTGGCCGAGCTGCTGGGATGTAGAGCTGGGTGTGAGGCTGGGCTGCGCGGATGGACGGTGGTGGCAGCGCTTGGGCTCGCTGTAGGAACACGGCTTGGTGCTGGCTCTGAGCGCTGCCCCTGCAGCTCCTCCCCGAGTGGTCGTGGTGGGCACTGGGGTTGGCTCCTGGGGGGGCCGGGTGGGCCCGAGGCAGGCCGGTGCTCCCCGCGACTGCCTGCGGTGGAGCCGGGCCCTTGTGTTGCCAGATCTGGAACGACTTCATGAACCGCTCGGGAGAGGAGCAAGAGCGAGTCCTGCGCTACCTGGAGGAGGAGGCCCGGCAGAAGCAGGAGAGGAAGCTGCCTGTGAAGAACAAAGAGAAGTGGAAAGGTGCTGGGGGGGGAGAGCTGCTCCCTTCCCTCCCCTGCATGCGCTTTGGGAAGGGAGCTCTTCCCCGAGGGCCACGTACTGCTCCCTGCAGCGCTCACGGGGCTGCCGGGAGGGGTCCGGCCCCACAGACCCCGTGGTGGACCGGGGGGAGCTCATGGGGGGCTGGCGGTGGCTGCGGTGGCCGGCTGGGTCCTGGGGGGTGTCGGGCACCTCCATGGGGCCGCGAACCCCATCCGAGCCCCTTCTGTCTTCCCTCCGTGGCCGCAGAGCACCCTGCCTACACACCCAAGGAGTGCTTCCAGCGCATCAGCCGCCGCCTGCGCTCCACCCTGAAGCGGGGCAGGATCCCCATGGTGAGCCGGGGGCCGGGGGGCTGGGGCAGGGCCTGGGGACGTGTCCTGGTGCTGTCCCCGAGCCCACAGACCGGCGCTGAGCCCGGCAATCCAGATGAGGTCCGGGCAATGAGCTCCTGCTCTCGTGGGACCCCTGCAGCAGGGGCTGGCTGGAAGCTGGCGTCGTGTTCAGCTCCCTGTGCAGGGGAGGGGGCTTTCCCCAGCTCGGCTGAGGTTTTCTGGGAGCTGCAGGGCATTTTTACCTGCTGGTTTTTTGGTCTCTGTTCAGTGAGGGCCAGAGGAAACCAGGTGTGCTTGTCCCCAAGGACAGCAAAGGAGCCTTGGGGGGGGGTTTCAGCCCCATCCACGTGAAGATGCTTGGAAAAACTGCCATGCATTTTGAAAGGGGTCAAACCACAGAGTGCTCCGGGCAGGAGAACCTGCAGCACGGCCCCGTGGCCTCGCGCCGGCTGGCTCAGGAGCGAGCTGCCACGCGCAGCGGGGCCCTGGGGCGCCTGGCTCCCTGCTCCCTGCTCGGCGGAGCTGTTGCCCTGCTCTGTTTGTTTTTCTTGCTCTAATTAGAGCTCTGTCTCTAAAAGCGGCCTCAGCTCCTCCTGCCTGTTGGCTCCTGCTCAGCTTGCCCTCAAATGAGACTCGTTCCTGCTGCTTGTCTCTGGGGTCACGGTGCTCTGCGTGGAGCTGATCCCTGAGTGCCAGCAGGGAAGGGGATGCGAGGCACGAGGCTGTCCTGGCCCTCGCCGCTCCGCGCACAAGGGACGGTGCCAGCACTTGGCATAGGAAGCGTGGAGCTGGCAGGGCCGGATTCCTCCCTGCTTTGTGGCTCGCTGCCTCATGCCTCCGGCTGCGTGGACGTGGCAGGGGATGGTTGGGATCTCAACGTGCCCGTGGCTCTGCCGGGCCCCTGGCTGGGCTGCAGCTCCTCAAAATCACAGCCCCAGTGGGCACAGAGCCGTGTGGGGACGGGCGGCTGGGGTGTGCCACGCCGTGCCCCCTCGCCTGGCTCCTCGCCTTCGCCCTCTCAGCGGTGCCTTTGCCTTCCAGGGGACGCTGGAGGGCCTGGAGGAGGAGCTGCTGGCCTTCTTCTCGGTCACCCCGCACTCCGTCTACACGGCGCTGATGGACAACAGGTATCACACGCTGCCCCCGGGATGTGGCTGGGGGCACCCGACGGGGGGATGAGCCCAGACCTGGGGCAGCCCCACGCTGGGACCTGTGGCTCTTTGTGCCCCTTCCCCTGCTGGGCTCCCTGGGCAAGCCTGGGGCAGGGCAGCGCCGGTGTCAGCCCTAACCCCGTCCCCATCTCCCCCAGCTTCGAGCGACTCCTGCTCCACGCGCTCTGCCAGTACATGGACCTCGTGTCTGCCAGTAAGAGCCTCGCGTTTGTTTTTATTTTTGTTTTTGTTTTTCCCCTCCGTCGCTATCTCCCCTCTCCAGCTCGTCCTCTTCCTCCCTTCCTCCCCGTCCCACCTCCCGCTGCGGCTCGCAGATAACCGCGGGAGCCGGGCTGTGTCCGCCCATGGGTGGCTGCTGCACGGGTGATGTTGGCTGCATGCAGCAGGCGGTGAGGGGACGAGGAGGGGACGGGGCCGGGCTGGGGGGCACAGAGTGACACCTGAGCACTCTGCTCGCCCCCAGGTTCGGACATCGAAGGCAAGCGCCAGATGAAAGTGAGCAACAAGCACCGCGTCTTCCTGCCCCCACAGCTCCTGCTCTCAGACTACCTGGGCCAGATGAGCTGATGGTGGGGGCCGGCCCGCCCCCCGCCCGGCACCGAACCCTCCGCTCGCCTGCCCCCAGGCCCCAGCTCCTCGCTCCCGGGCCGTGTCCGTGCCTGTATTTATTACCGGGTGCTCTCACCGGGGTGGCCGGGCCGGCCCCACTGATGCCTGCCGGTGCTGGCGGTGCCATTGGGGCCCGGCCGTCCCCGTGTGGAGCCCGGCCTGCACGTGGGGCTGGCACCACGGCCTGCGCGGGGCAGCGGGGCTGTTTTTAATCGTAATACAGCCTGGTTTTATGTCTGTACAGCTGTCTCTGGGGTTTGGGTAGGGGACGGGACCCCCGGAGGGGCTGTGCTGGGCAACCGAGGCTGTCACCGGGCCTTGGGTGCGGGTTGGTCTGAGGGGGGGGCACAATGGGAATGGTGGGCCCAGGGGACAAGGAGCCCAGGGGACAAGGAACCCATGGCAACAATGGGCCCAGGGGACAACGGGCCAGGGGGACAATGAGCCTGTGGCAATAACGAGACCAGGGCAACAAGAAGAAGCCCAGGGGACACTGAGCCCATGGCAATAATGAGCTGGGGACAAGGAGCCTGTGGCAATAATGACCCCAGGGACAGTGAGCCCAGGGGACAATGGGCCAGGGGCACAACAAGCCCAGGGGACAAGGAGCCCACGGCAATAACGAGACCAGGGCAAGAAGAAGCTCAAAGGACACTGAACTCCATGGCAGCAGTGAGCCCAGGGGACAATGAGCCCAGGGGACAATGAGCTGTGCAAACAATGGGTCCAGGGGACAATAGGGGACAATGAGTGCTGGGGAACAACAAAAGCAGTGGCAGCAGCCAGGCCGGAGCCCCCCGCGGCCCCAAAATATGGAACGCTTCACGAATTTGCGTGTCATCCTTGCGCAGGGGCCATGCTAATCTTCTCTGTATCGTTCCAATTTTAGTATATGTGCTGCCGAAGCGAGCACGAACCCTGCTTCCCCCGCGGCGCTATTTAAAGTGTCATCACGGAAAAATGTTAAGGATAGGGTGGCGGAATTTTTTATTCGTTACTAGTCCCATTCCTGCTCCTCAGCTTCCTTCCCCGACAGCACGCCCCGACTTCCTCTGTTTTCACCCCAATCTCCCCAAATTCCACCGTTTGCTCCCCTCCTATCGCCCCCTATGCCTTCTGGGTAAATCTTTATGCAAATGACCCCCCTCTGCCTCCCTCCCCAGTCCTCCCAGCGAGGACCTCCGGCCCGGGCTGTCCGCGGCGCTGCCTGAGCGGCGGCGTCAGGCGCGCGGCGGGCGGGCGGGGTCCTCGGGGCGGCGGCGGCGCGGGGCCCGGTAACAGGCCCCGGTCCCCCCGGTAGGCCCCGGACCCCCCGGCAGGCCCCGCCATGGACCTGGCCTACGTGTGCGAGTGGGAGCGGCGGCCGAAGAGCAACCACTGCCCGTCCATCCCGCTGGTGTGCGCCTGGTCCTGCCGCAACCTCATCGCCTTCACCACCGACCTCCGCAACGAGGAGGAGAAGGGTGCGGGGGGGGGGGGGGAACAGCGCGCGGGGAAAACACCTCACGGGTAAAGCTGCGTGGCGGGGGTATCGCGACATGTCGTGGGTAAAATAAACACGGCATAGTTAAAGCGTGTGGGCATCGCGATATGGCGTGGCTCATGCGACATGTCGTGGGTAAAATAAACACATCGGAGTTAAAACACGTCATGGGCAACGCGATATGTCGTGGGCAACGCGATATGTCACGGCTAATGCGATATGTCGAGGGCAACGCGACATGTCGTGGGTAAAATAAGCACAGCAGAGTTAAAGCATGTCGTGGGCAACGCGATATGTCGTGATTAACCCATGTCGTGGTTAACCCATGTCATGCTTAGCCCCTGTCGCGGTTCCCGCCTCCACGGAGGCTGCGTGGGGTCGGGGTGCCCGCGGGGCGGCTGGTGACGGGGGCTGCCGTCCCGTTGCTCCCCCCGCGCAGACCTCACCCACATGGTGCACATCATCGACACCGAGCACCCCTGGGACGTTTACTCCGTCAACTCGGGGCACGCCGAAGTCATCACCTGCCTGGAGTGGGACCAGTCGGGTGAGCCCGGGCCCCGCGCCCCGTCCCCGTCCCTCGCTGCGGGGAGCCCGTCGTCGCCTCGCAGCCACGCGCTGAGGGGCTGTGCCTGCCCGCACCACGGCTTCGTTTCATGATTCGTTTCTTGTCCGCAGGCTCCAGGCTGCTCTCCGCAGACGCCGACGGCCACATCAAGTGCTGGAGCATGACCGACCACCTGGCCAACAGCTGGGAGAACACCGTGGGCAGCATGGTGGAGGGAGACCCCGTGGTGGCCCTGTCCTGGCTGCACAACGGCGTGAAGCTGGCTCTGCACGTGGAAAAGGTGCGTCCCGGCCCCGCGCTGCTCAGCAGGGCTGGCTGCGGTCATTAGGACTCGTGTAATTAGCAGTCATTAGCAGAGTCACGGCTGTGGCAGGGTTTTGCTCTGCGTGTTTCTGCGCTGCCGTGGGCTTCTTCCGTAGCCTTGGGCGGGTCAGGTTGGGGAGTTTGTCGAGGCAGAAGCAGAGATCAGTGTCCCAGTTGCAGCATGGGATGCCTCGGTGCTGTTGGTGCTGTCAGCCTGCCTTTCTCATTGTCTGCCCCAATTTCTCAGGCTGTGAAATGGAGACAAAAGCATTTCTTTGCCTACCAGCAGTGCTTCAGAACAGGCGTGTTCGAGGTCGTGGGGTTTGATCCGGGGGTTTGATCCTCAGCTCTGCTGAGGGCTCGCTGTCTTCCTGCTGCTGCCTGTAAACCTGAACCCGCTCAGGGCCAGGGCAAGGCCCTTCCCCGGGGTCTCGCAGCAGCGTCGGGTGCGTGAGCTCAGTGACCTGCCTCTGGTCAGGGGCTCGGGGAGCTGGAGGGGCTCTGCAGACACAAACGTCCCCGTGTCCCTGCTCTCCGTTCGCAGTCCGGGGCATCCAACTTCGGCGAGAAGTTTTCCCGGGTGAAGTTCTCGCCGTCGCTGACGCTGTTCGGAGGGAAGCCGATGGAGGGCTGGATCGCCGTCACCATCAGCGGGCTGGTCACCGTCTCCCTGCTCAAGCCCAACGGGCAGGTGCTGACGTCCACGGAGAGCCTGTGCCGGCTGCGCTGCCGCGTCGCCCTGGCGGACGTCGCCTTCACCGGCGGGGGGAACATCGTGGTGGCCACGTCGGACGGCAGCAGCACCTCCCCCGTGCAGTTCTACAAAGTCTGCGTCAGCGTGGTGAACGAGAAGTGCAAGATAGACACCGAGATCCTGCCGTCCCTCTTCATGCGCTGCACCACGGACCCTGCCCGCAAGGACAAGTACCCAGCGATCACCCACCTGAAATTCCTGGCTCGGGACATGTCGGAGCAGGTGAGCCGTTGGTGTTGAAACAAGCGGGAGCTCCTCAGATAACAAAGGAGAGAGCTGCTTGTCCCAGCCTGGCCTTCCCCACGTGGCTCTAGAGCAGCGGTCGTGTCCTGCCATGCCCTTTGTGTTTCTTGTTGCTGTTTCTGGAGCCTCAGCTGAGCAGCCTGCACTTAGAAGGTGCGGGGTGTAATGGCTGAGCCCTCCAGTTCCTGGAAAAGCTCTCTGCAAAGCCCCGTCCTTCATTAGCCTGATTATTTGCTGCTTTGTTTGCTTTATGCCCCTGCCGCTGCTTGGTGCGGGAGTTCTGAGCTGTTCGGGAGGTTCTGGGGCACGAAGTCTTTCATCTTCAGGTCTCAGCTTCAAAGCAGTCCCCCTCCAGAACTCAGAGCTCTGGATCCATATGACTTAATTTAGTAGCTTAACTCTATTTGCCAGGGTATCGATAATGAGATTGTGAAAGTTAAGTGACCCGGGGAGCCTGAGCTCCTCTCCTCTTCCCCGTGGAGAGGATCGAGTGCCGTGCTGGAGAACGCCTGTGTCTGCTCCGGCTTCAAAGTCGGTTCAGCTCCTGCCCTTTCCCTTTAGACCGATGCACAGGGACGGCATCGGCAGGTACAGAAGCACGGGTTTCTGTTCCGCAGGTGTTGCTTTGTGCCTCCAACCAGAACAGCAGCATCGTGGAGTGCTGGTCTCTCCGGAAAGAGGGCTTGCCTGTCAATAACATCTTCCAGCAAATCTCTCCTGTGGGTGAGTTTCAGCACCTGGTACTCTTAAAAGTAGGAGCCTGGTCTGAGAGAAAGAGCAGTGCGGGTTCCCAGACCCATTACCACGTGGATGGGATCATCCGGAGTCCTGTATTTATTTTTCAGGTATTCTTGGTCATGTTCTGTTCCATCCGTTTGCATCTTAGGCAACAAATTGCTGGTTTCCAGGAAGTGGTTCAATTGCTACTTTCACTCAGTAAAACATTATCTGTTTTGCTGCGCAACCACTCTTCCTGCTGAGAACAGAGCAAGCTGAGTCTTCTCAAGGAAAAAAACATGCAGCAAGCAAGTGGCTCAGTCGAGCTGCCCGGTCTGCATCTCCCTTCCACCTGATTTCAAACAAAATCAAACATCCACGTTTTGCTCCAGTGCAATGCAAAGGATCATTGTACATACAGATTTATTACTTGCTGCCAGCAGAGCCTTCCATCAGAACAGGAGGAGCAAAACAAGTCGTAACTTGTGCAGTTACTGAGCTCAGCCCAAAAATGGGGAATACGCTGGTGTGGCAGAACGGCTGGACAGCCCGGTGGGGGCAGAGAGCTGGGACTGGGGGCTTTTTCTGCCCCTGAAGCCAGAGGTGGTAGTGAGAGATGTCTCGTTTGTTTCCCACAGTGGGAGACAAGCAGCCCATGATACTGAAGTGGCGAATTCTGTCTGCCACCAACGACTTGGATCGGGTTTCGGCTGTGGCGCTGCCGAAGTTGCCCATCTCCCTAACCAACACGGACCTGAAGGTAGCGAATGACACCAAATTCTTCCCTGGACTGGGTAAGGAGTCTTTGTTGCTCTTTGGGTGCTGTGGTGTTGCTGCAGGAGCTTTTGGTGGCTCCTTCTGTGGGCGAGGTTACACAGGGGGAAGTTTGCTTCCTCACCTGTGGCTGTCTTCTCTCCGCAGGTCTGGCTTTGGCTTTTCACGATGGCAGCGTCCACATCGTTCATCGCCTGTCCCTGCAGATGATGGCTGTCTTCTATGGCTCTTCCTCCCAGCGCCCCGTGGACGAGCAGACTATCAAAAGGCAGCGAACTGCCGGTCCCTTAGTGCACTTCAAAGCCATGCAGCTCTCCTGGACATCTCTGGCCTTGGCTGGCATTGATAGCCACGGGAAGGTACTGGATTTTTTAGCTGTGGGGTGTGCGCTTTTGTTCT